ATCTTAGATGTGTAGACTCACATCTTCCAAATTTTTCAAGTTTTCAATTCCTTTTTTTCTTCAAATATTTTCTAAGTGCATACTTTTCCTTCCTTTCTCCTTTCTGAACTCATTACACGCATGTTGGAACTCTCTATAGTGTCCTAAAGGTCTCTAGGATCTGTTTTTTTTTTTCATCCTTCTGACTTATCCTCACATTCATTGAGTCCTTCTATCCATGAAGATCTGATATTGAGCTTAACCTACTGACATTTCCTTTTTACTTATTGTGTTTTTAAGTCTGGAAGTAGTTCTGTTTTGAACCTTTTAAAGTTTTTCTTTCTTTTTGCTGATAGTCTAATTTGGAAAGAGAATATTCCCGTATTTCATGTACAAGTTCTTGACCACATTAAGAGTTAAAAGCCTTTGTCTAGTGGATCTAATATTTACACTTGTCAGACAACTGCTATTAATTTTTTTCTCTGTGTATTAACCAGTTTACCTTTTTCTTTGTATGTTTTATTGGTTTTTTAAATGTATGCATAACTAGACATTTTAAGTATATAATATGACAATTATATTTCCTACATCCTCAGAATTTGTGCTATTTGTCTACTGACTATTCTAAACTAAGTGTATAAAATGTCCATAATTGGCTGTTTGGCCATTGGAGTCTGCTTAAATTTATAGTCATCCAATGGTTGTGCAGAGATCCCTAAGGCACATGGAAGAGGGGAGGAGGAGAAAGAGACAGAAGTGAGCTGCAGACAGATGAGACTGTCCCAGTCTTGGCCAATATCTTAGTCACTGTTGTATTGCTATAAAGAAACCCTGACCAAGGCAACTCCTATAAATGGAAGCATTTAATTGGGAGCTTGCTTACAGTTTCAGAGGGCTAGTCCATTATCATCATGGCAGGAAGCTTGTGGAGCAGTAGCTGAGAGATTTCCATTCTTATCCACAGACAGCAGGCAGAGAGAGGGGGTTGGTAGTGGGAAGACAGACAGACATACGCTGGACTTTTGAAATCCCAAAGCCCACCCCCAACAACACACCTCTTCTAATAATGACACATTCACTCCAACAAGACTACACCTCCTAATCTTTCCAAACAGTTCATCAAATGGGGACTAAGCATACAGATATATGAGCCTATGGAGGCCATTCTTATTCAAACCACCACAGCCACTTGAACTCTTGGAGCATGCTTTCAGTGCTCAGCTTGGTACTGGCAACTCTTTCAACAACTCTGTGCTTGCTCCTTACACGAAGCTTGAAGATGTACCAGTGGTGAGAACTTCAACACCTTCTCTAATCTTTCTGAGCACATGCTCGTCCTTGGGCATGCACATGCTTCGAACCAGTTCTAACTGGTCTTATTAAAAACCCAGAGCCAGATAGCATGACAGATGCTGAAAGATCAGATAAAGGAGCAAGCCACAGCTAGCTCTGATCTTGCTAACTCCTCAGCCAAAAATGGGGTGAGCTCCTATCTCCTCCCTCCTTATATTCTTCTTTCTGCCCAGCTATTTTACTTCCTGTCTGTCTATACAGACCTCCAGACCTTTATGGTTAACTAGTGGCCTAACTCCACCCTCTGATCTTCAGCAAGCTTTATTTGTTAGAGCACAAAAAAGCACCACACACATGGTCTTCTAGTTTCCAAGGAATTTAGGAAACATTTCAAAGACACTTCCCAGAAGACTTTCTTCCCAACTGTTACCCTTTGACTGATTTCTAAGCAGAGTTTTTCTGTGTTGGCAGCTGCTCCCAAATAATCACTCAGAAACTTAAGTATTAATTGTCAGGGAAAATTTTAAGGTAGTTTGTTCTTTCCTTTTACCGTGTGGGTTCCAGGAATCAAACTCAGGTTTATCAGATTTGGTTGTAAGGGCCTTTAATCACAGAACGCTTCATTGGTCAACTTTAAATGTTCTTGATAACTCCTGTCTGTATACTTTCATAATTCTAAACTTGATTCAAAAAAAGGAAAAAGTCTTTAAATATCAGAGTAGACAGACAGATCAAAACACCCATAATTCTTTGAGAAAAAGATAAGCTGTGCTTTTCCTGCACTGGGAACTCGCATCATTTATGGAGGTTGGTGTCTTCAGAACCCTTACTGAGACTCAGCTTCATGTGATCTTAAGTGCTTGCCTGATTGCCATGAGCTTTGACTAGTTTCCAGGGTTCAGATAAAGTTGATTCTGACAGTTTTGCCAGATTAGTCACTGTTTCTGTGGTGGGGCAGCCCTTGGAGTTCTCTCTCCGCCTTTTCACTCTCATCATGGAGTTCCATTCTGACTAGCATATATTACACTAAAAGACGTTAAGAGTGACAATATGTCTCTTCATCACGGAGGTTATCCAAGTGTTAAGATAATTTGTATTTTGCCTGCTAGCGAGCTGCATCACATTTAGAAGGAATAGAATCATGGCAAATTGATGTAGTACATCTTTTGATATCAGCAATGGTCAGCTTACCTATTGCCCTGTCAAGCTTTTTTCTATATAAGCCAAAGAAATTTTAAATGGTCTGTTTTGCTGAATTTAATAGATGAATGTTCAAAATTCGAGTCTTTAATAGAAATGTGATATAAAGTGCTTTGGAGAAGCCAGCACACATCAGAGGGTGTATCTTTAAAACCTCATAGAGTAGTTTGGTGCTGGTTGATGTGTACCTCTATTCCCAGCTCAGGAGACCAAGGCAGGTGATTACTTGAGCCCAGGAGGTTGAAGACAGACTGGACAACATAGTGAGACTTCATTTCAAACACCAGCAACCGTAGGAGGAAGAACAGAACTTTATGGGACATACTCATCTTATGGTTTGGTGGATGATATGCTCCCAGTGTTTATCAAATTCATAAAATAGTAATGATTACTTTCACTGCCTCCCCAAAACTTCCTCCCTTTACAAATTTAAACTTAAAAATTATAAATTTACAATTTAAATCTTAAGTAAAACAGCCATCATAGCTTAGATCTTTAAGGTTTTTTTTTTTTTTTTGCATTGAATTCTGTCTTAATCTTTTTGTAGAGAGAATAAATTTGAACATGTTACTTAGCTTTTCCCTACCTTACTTACTTGTAAAATGGGCTGAAAACAACTATGCTTACACGGTAGGTTTGTGAGTTTGTATGTGGCTAAAATTAAGACTGATAAAAGGCTCACATTAAATAAATGCATAATCTACCCTCTGGGAAGCTTGTCCAGAGGATGTCTCTAGATAGGAAAAGCCCACTCCCACTTACCATGGACCTTATTGGTGAGATACCAGTTCTCAAGAGGGAAGTCTTCTGTGTTTGTGTGGAGCCTGAGAGGCCAGGTTCTTAGTAAAGGGTGGGCTGCCTTTGTAGCCCAGTAAAAAAGAAAATGAGGAGGAGGCTGAACTGCACCTTGAAGTGTAATTAGGGGGAGGCCAGCACAGCTGGAAGACAAAGCTAGCGATGGGAACACAGGTGATGGAGGTGTAGAAACAACTATCTGACTGGTTTTATATTTGGGATGCATACTGTGACAGAAAATTCTTGCAGACAATGCCAAAGCAAGGAAATGCCTTTGTTGACCAGTAGTCATTTTTATTTTTAAGTCATAGATATTATATGTTATGTATTATTTTATAATGAAAAATATATAAACTCATACTTTATTTTAAAAATCTTCTGAATTTTCTCTCATACAGTTAATTTAATAAAATTGTATTTAAATTTCTAATTAGAGGCTGTTTATTCATTTGACACATGGCCTCTTTGCATGACAAAAGGACTTATCACACATTTCCATTAAACAGCTCCTTTCTTTCATGTATTACCTGTCATCTAATGTGGGAAGCACATCCTTTCCTTCAGCAAACTTAAAATGAAATAATACAAACATATTATCTGCAAGGTTTACTTTGTTGGTTTTACAGCTCCTTGGCCCTCTATAACTCAGAAGTATTCACAGCTAGGGTAGCTTACTAGCCTGAAGCAATAAGTTCCCTCTCCACATGAAAACGCGTGCGTGCGCGCGCACACACATAGAAACACACATTGACAGTGAAAATAATGGCTTATAAAGGAAAGCTTTGACAGACTAATTGTAGCTTTTTTTTTCTTTTTTTCCTCCAAATTTATTTCTTGGCCCCTGGTATATAGATTTTTGTGTTGGTTTGAGTTTCAGTTATTTGAGCGTTTTAGTAATTAATTAGACAAATAGCTATCAGACAAAGTTTAATAAGTTGCTTTACTATCACTTGTCTCAAGAATCTGGTTTTACATATAATAGAAATGAAGTTTTGAACTCTATGTTTATTTTAGCCACGTAAATGATGTTTTCTTATTTTATCTGCACAAACAAGATTACTAACTGCTGTGACCTTGAATATATTTTAAACTATATTAGTCATACATGAATAATGGGCAATTTTTTTTTCTACAAACCAGTCTGGGGAGATTGTAGAATTGTGGGCATACTCTTTAAAGCATATAACTGTTTAATTACAACTTATGGATAACGCAACTTTAACTCCCTTCAAATCAACATTTTTTGACATGAAATCGGGTTTTCATAAGTTGTTGCTGAATGTTAATTTCAGTATGAATAATAATTAAAAATTTATGTATATATAAGCTTGGGCTTCTTAAACTGATTTTAAAATTCTCAAGTAAATAATAAGGTTCTTTATAGCACACAGATATTAATTTTTAATTTGTCTCTTTTTTGTATCTTGATTACTAAAAGAGATTTATTGGTTAATTGTAGGGAGGCAAGTGTTTGAAAAGTTTTGTCAAATACCATCTTCTTTAAATGACTGTATGGTAATGAAAGTTAAGAGGAGAGCCAATTTAGATTGAATAATTGTTCAATCATGTGGGTCAGGCTAGCTGCATAGCATGGTTGTTAGACTGATTGCTCAAATTACATTGCCTGGGGTCCTGCACTTGGTTGGCTGTCTTCTCAGATCTTAACAAGGTTCTGGGAATTTCTCTTTCTGACAAAGTTTGCTTTGTATTTTCCCCTCCCCCTACCAACCCAGGATGCTTCATCTGCAGACATCAGAAAAGCATATCGTAAGCTTTCACTAACCTTACATCCAGACAAGAATAAAGATGAAAATGCAGAAACTCAGTTTAGACAAGTAAGTGCAATGTAATTTTATTATAGTGACAGTTGTAGTAATATACTTATGCTAGAAATTTAACGTAGATGTAGCATATTTTCATTTGAACATGAAACTTAAATATATAACATTTAGATTTTTATTTGTTTTTTAATGGAATACTTTTTTCATGAACATTTTGTGTCATTTAGAGTTTTTCTTAGTTGTTACAGGGTCATGGTTGTCATAATTTTCGTATCTAAATTATCCTCTTGCTCTTAATATTTTTAAGGTAAAGTGTTACTTTTATACCTTTCACAAAAGTTCATTTTGATACCCGTTTTTAAAATTGCTTTCAAAAACATAAATTGTTACTTATTTTTGGATTTTTACTATTTATTGCATAGATGGACACATGGGGTTTTCTGCATGTGTGTTTTAGAGCGTTCATCCTCCTATGTGATTTCTTACAGTTGAAAATATTTTTATTTTAAAGTAATGCTTCTGTTTTAGTTGGTGGCCATTTATGAAGTTTTAAAGGATGATGAAAGAAGGCAGAGGTGAGTGCTCATTTGTGCTTCTGAGTTTGGATGGGCAAGTTTCATGCTACAGCTTTGAAAAGTCCTGCTTAGGTTAGGTTTTTCGTTTTGGTGGGTTTTGTTTATTTGTTTGCTTTGCTTCTTCCAAGAAATGCATTGTTTTACAGTCTTGTGTAGAGCAAAGCTCATTTCTTTTTAATCTATTTCCTAGGCTGATTCACTACTTACAAACTATGGATCACGAGATGTAAAGTTAGCAAGTTTTGCTTCATTAGAACAGACTTTTAATGCGGGTGTTTATGCCCTGGGAAACAATCAGAAGTACTTGATTTCAACCAAATGCCCATTCTTTTCGCTCTATCATAAGTAGCTCCTCTCTGTTTTTGGTAGACCCGCTACCCTCATGACCACTTGTTAAGCATTTGAGATTATCACTTAGTAATCATGTAAATGTACTTTCCAAGTGTTTCTTCACCCCATATAGTCCCGGTTGTAAGTTGATAGACTTACATGAACTGTGGAAAATATGATTAAAACAATAAACAAACAAACGTTCCTCTTTTCTCATTGGTTTTGCCTTCTTCCCTAAGTTTGCTCCAGTGATGCTGTATCTGTTAACCTTAGGGTAGAGACAGTCCCTCACACAGACCTGTCTCTGCCCCCTCAGAAGACCAGTGATAAACTCTAGTGGTTTATATTGCCAGTGACTCAGGAGATCATAGGCATTCCCTCTGCTGTAGAATGTGTGGAATGTGGATCCAGTGTGAAGTATTCGGAGATCTTAGAATCAGAGCCAGAGTAAGAAACACATTTTAAATTATCCCTTTGAACACAAACAACAAAAGTGTCTCATAAAAAAATTATTGCAGGTAAAATAAACTGTTTTTTTTTGTTTTATTCTGGGCTTGTTAATCTTTAAAAATAAACAATAATAATGCTGATTATAGCCCAATAAGTTGACTTCATGAGATAGTAGTGGACAGCATTGGAAATTTGACAGTGTTGTCTTAAAGAAAATACCCTCATTTTTGAGATTTAAGCTAAAGCAGGCATAAATACCTGATTTGTTTATGTGGCTAACACATCTTATACACAAACCCCAGAATTACATTATGTGGCATTCTGAACTTTTCTTCAACATCCTAAAATGTTAGTTGCCCTTCCTGGTTCTTAGCCACAGTTGATCAGGTTGTAGTCTATCTATCTTTGTCATTCTGCACTTACCTTAGTAGATTTTCTTTAATGAACCACTAGTTTTGTTTCATGTATCAAGAATGTGTTGTGAAGATAGCTTGCTTTATTCTTCCAGTATCTTTACCTTCAAACTTTGTCTTTTGGCTGATTGTTCTCTTATAAGTCAGTAAACGTTGTAATAACTTCTTTTAATTACTAAAATCAATTCTGTCTTTTTACAGCAAATAACTCCTTACCTATCCATTGTTTCTTTGTTCACATAGACTCATCTAATACAATCTCTTTAGGAATAGCTCCCTCTGCATTGACTTTACTGTTAGTGGGGGAAAAAATGGACCTGACAGTTATACAAACATTTCTAGTATTTCCCCTTGAGGCACAAGTAACTCTTTGGTAACTGGTTTTCCTTGAGGCAAAAGTCTTAACTAATCAAGCTGAGAATCACTCCTCTAAAGCTTGTGCCTGAGGCTAGGTGACCTGTGAGTGTTTAGACTTAGGAGAAAGGAGTGTGCAGATCTTTTCAGTAAGACTCCTAATTCCTTAAAAAGGAAAGACTAGTCAGCTGCCTCTAAAAGACCTTCTCATTTCACTCTCACAAAGTCAACTTGCCGACACAATTGTTTATCATAAATATTCATTGAGCAAGTATTTTCAGATTATAACCTAGGCATGAACAGTTTGGAAAGTTATCATAGAAGTGTTTGCTGTGTTATCCTTCTGAGATGATTCTGTGCGTGATAGAGAATAAAGAAAGATCTTTAGTGTAACAAACACACGTATTTGCTGTTCTCCAGATATGTAATATAATTATGTTTTCATTGAAATTGGATACATTGTTTGAATTTGAGGAAATGAAATAGAAATGCAACAAATATGTTAACAAATGAAACAGCTTTTCTTCTTCAGAAAAAGACAAATTTTATTTTCTTTCATAATGGTTTCATTTAGGTATAAATTTCTCATCATGAAAATAGCCTTCTGTAAGTGTAAAATCCAATGATGTGTAGAAACTGTACCGAGTTGGGCATACTCTCTCCATAACCCACTCTTTAAATATTTTCATCCTCAAAAAATGTGCAGCCACAGTTGTTCAGTGAATTTATCAATTTGTATCTTCTGTTCATTTCATAGTGACAGAATATGCAATGTATAGTGTCTTTAAATTGTATTCATACTGTACTACATTCTAATTCTTTAGTCTTGTTTATTACTGAATACTATTCATTGTGTGAATAATTTTGTTTATCTGCTCACCATTTGATGCACTCATTATGACTTTTAACATTTTGTGCTGAAGATGCTATGAACGTTGTCATAAAAGTCCTTGAACCGACATGAGTTTCATTTTTTAGATAGATTACTAGAAGAACATCTGAAAACTTTAACTTCCCTGTTAGTCAAAGGCATAAATTATAGTGTGAAGTGAATAGATTTTCTGGCATAGAATTTCTCCCTGAACTCCATAGCAAATTTCCTCATTTGAAGAATCTGCAGCTTATGAGCTAACACAAATTTCTATACAAGTTCCCAAAGTTTTTATCTAAATTTCTGAAAACTACTTATTACCTGTACCCTTCTCTTTCTCTCTCTCTCTCTCTCTCTCTCGCTCTCTCTCTCTCTCTCTCCTCTCCCTGTCTCTTTTTTTCTTTTCCTCCCTCCCTTCCTCTCTCCCTCCCTCCTTCCTTTCTTCCTTTCCTTTTTCCTTTCTCTTTTCTCTTCATGTTTTGTTTTTTGTTTGTTTGTTTTTTGTTTTTTTTTAGACAGGGTCTCTCTACGTAGCTCTGGTTATACTGGAACTTGCTATATAGACCAAGCTTGCCTTGAACTCACAGAGATCTGGCTGCCTCTGGAGTGCAGTGATTGAAGGCCTGTGCCTCCAGACCTGGCAAACTAGGATTTCTGTTAATCCAATTATGCAACTTAAATTTTCCTTTATTTTATTACTATGTTAGTAAAACTTAAAACATTTTTTAATTTACCAAAGAAAAAATGTCTCATGTACAAATGCAGCTTAAAATGTGGCATTAACTTTGAATCTGCTAAAACTTTCATAAATGCATTACAAAGCTACTGTTAATTTCATTACAGATATGTTCAAATCTGAGAATAAGAAATCTAATTTGACTTTCCCTAAATTAAAACTGTAAGACACATAAACATTATGTAAAATGCCATGTACCACAATAGATTTGCCAAATACACACACACACAAGATTAGTTAAGATACTAAATTAGTTAATTTAATATTATTTCTTGTTTATAATCTCTATACAACTGAGTTTTGCCGGAAAGTTTAAAATCTGATTTAAAATGGAAATTATGTTATTTTTAAGCTAAAAAAAATCACATACTGTATAATAGGAAATTTAATTTTGACAAGTGCTAGAATTATTTATTCATGTTTTACTATTCAGATTTTCATTTTGATTTTGTTTCTATTTTATGATTTTGTTTCTGTCTTAAATAAATATTTTTTGCTGGTAGTTTAAGATTATTTTAAATTTGTTTTTCTGTAATTCTAGCGGGTAAGTGTGTGATGAATTGCGATTCTAGTATATAACTTACTAATGATTTTGCAACTGTTATTTTATGTTTATCATGTGTGTTTAAGGAAATCAAATGAAGCAAATGTGCATTAGGCCCTATGTTGTATATGTGGAACTGATCAATTAGTGCTTTAAATTTCAAGAAGATGCCATGTCAGCTTTTATTTGTGTGTTAGTGATTCTTTATGGTAAAGATTTGCTTCTGTCTAAATTTTAATATGTTTATTTATTTATTTGTGAATTCTTAATCTGGTTTAAATGCAGACTTAAGAATAGTTTGTATCCATCTCAATTACAGAGCATTTAGACATTATGTGTTTAAATATGGAAAAACATAATAAAGTGTTGTAAATTTTGTGTTGTCAACACATTTTTTTCCTTAAGTAACTTATGGGTGTCTGTGTATATTTTAAGAAGTATATTGTTTTTTCAGTGTCCCATCAGGAAGGTAGTAATTTATCTCTTAACAACATATATTCTAAAAAGTGAACTATAATAGAAGCTATCTTCCTTTCAAATGGCCAGTTGTGTGAGCCGTAATGTTCATTAGAGTAAAATCAATAGAGCATTGACTGTATGCTTAATCCTTGGATGCTGTTTTTCAGCGTGCCAGGCATAGCTGAGTAAATATCTGCTGCTTCATGTTTGGATTTGATTGTGCACTAAATACAACTCACATATGTGATAGGAAAAGTTAGCTTTTCCCAGTGATGGTGATGAAATATGTGATAGAAGAGTCTTAGCTGTGAGTGCAGCTGTATTTTCTTCCCTTACAGTTTAGGTCCAAAGCAGATTTAATATTTGTATTAATGCTAATAAGGAATCAACTCCACATTCTCAAATACTTTTTATCTATAACCATATCTTTTAGAAGGTATGGTTATCATGCCTTTAGTTGAGATATTTCTGAAAATAAAGATTTTTTTCATTCACCTTTATTTCTCCTCAAGAAATCTGATATAAGACAGAATTCAGTGTGGGGCCTAATGGTCCCTGGACTTCATTTGAGTTTTATGATCTTATGATGTACTAACTGAAACCCTTTTACCTGTGTCTAAATTAGTTGATCTGGAAAAGATCGGTTTAAATATGAAATTCTGAAGACAGAATACATTTTCTAGGACACCATAATGCTATACCATGAAGCTGATGTTGAAGGAATGGTACACATGCTGGAAAGGAGAATATTTCTCACCAAATTCTGCCTGGCCCTGTCCACAGGCCATATTGTGATTTGACTTTGTAAATGTCTTTTTCTTTTACTACTTAGATACTCTGATCTAGTAGTATTAATAATTAAAGTTGATCTAAAAGTCAGGTTTTAAAAGATTGACTAATAAATTACATTTTGTATTAATAACCAATGTTTTTCTGCTGAAAAGAAGTTTTCTATAATAAACCCTCTGCTTTATATTTTTAGCATATCTCCAAGGTATCAATTTAATAACTATCAAAGTAGCTACTGCAGTTGTTGCATTTAAATTGATTTACATGTCAAGACTGGCAGTTTAGCAGCTGCGCTATTATTCCTAGATCGGTCAATTTACTTGAGAAAAACCTACTACTGAGCTCCACTGACCTGCCTGACAATATAGGTCCTATTTCTATTCCTGTAATTAGGCCTGCGACTAACTCAGAATATTTTTAATTAAAATATTTTGGTCAATGTGTTGCACCAAATTAGGCCTTTCAGTGGAGGTTTAATTCTAGAAATAGTGTGATTAGAATATTTAATGGGTTGTGTTCAATTAAGATTAACAGGTTGTGTGTATTGAGCATACAGTGTATGTGATCATTTTGAGTTTCACAATCATAAATGTCACTCCTTATTTTAATCTTAAAAATATTTGCTCAATAACTGACAAATTTAAATTCAGTTGAATTTTTATTTCTCTTTTAGCCTGGTGGTAATAAGAATGATTATTTAAGTCTATAAGGAAAGCTGTTATGTATTAATGTTCTTCCCTTTCAGCAAAAGCCACAAATGAGGAAATTGCTACTTAAGGGTTTACAAATAAGCAGTTTTATTGTGAACTCTGACTTACATTTGCTATTTTCATGTCCTTCTCTAATTTGAGATCTTTTTGTTCTTAAAGGAACATGAGCTCTGCAAAATCATAGGCACTCATTTTATTTATGTCATTAAGAAGCTTTAATAAAATAATGTGTGTGGATATTCATCATTCAACTACTGTTATCATGAGGGTAGAAATAAAAGTGTTGATTAAAAAAAATGTATACTAAGCTTGATTCAGTTAATGTATAATTCATTCAAATAATATGTAATTCAAATAGCTCTGGTTTTATTTTACTTTATTTCCTCGGTGAGAACCTAACTTTTAATACTGATTCCGTGATAGAGAATTTTCTACAGGAAGGCATGCATGTCACCTTAGTAGCCATAATAACTGGGTGCTATAAATCCTGCGATCTGCTCTCCAGTGTATTAATGCTGTTTGTTTCTGAAGCCATATAACTACGCTTTGAATTTACTAGGTACTGTGATGCTGGAGCACTATAGTTGTTCCTCTCAGAGAGAATTTTTTTCTTTTTAAATATAGGAGCAAATGAAGTTTTTCTTTAGCTTTGCTTTGGTTTTGCTTTATTTTAAACTCTTCATAAAAAACTGTTATATTTGCTACCGCAGGTACGATGATATTCTGATCAATGGACTTCCAGATTGGCGACAGCCAGTATTCTACTACAGACGAGTAAGAAAAATGAGCAATGCTGAGCTGGCATTACTCTTGTTCATTATTCTCACAGTGGGGCATTATGCTGTGGTTTGGTCAATCTACCTGGAGAAACAACTGGTGAGTATTGGTCATAAATCAAATAGCCTAGCCTCTCATTTTATATAGAAATCTAGGCATTTATTTCTCAAGTCATGGAAGTTTCTTTTTTTCTACATATTCTCTGTATTCTAATAGTTGTACTGTCACTAGTTACTGCTTGATTTACTTTTATGCCAAGGAAAATTAATATTTATATATGAAAAACACATGAATATTTTTAAATCTTTTTTTTAAAAGTATATTGCATTTGAGTTTATAACAAAACTTTGTAAAGTAGAGCCATATTCTTCTAATTATCACCTAAGTAGAATTTTTTAATGTAATTGAGAAGTTTTTGTCACAGACTTCTTGTGTAATTTGTTTACTTTAAAATCATAAAATAATATTTAAAGTGGATATATTATAACTTCAGTGATCAGTTTGTTAAAAAATTTATTACACTTCCTCAATCTAATATGCACTATATTTTATTACACTATGGGCTTTTATGTGCTATAAATAAACATTTATAAATATTTATGAATTATCTTTTATTTACTCATTATTTTAAAAGTAACACTGTTAAAGGTATTGAGTAATAAAGTGTATGTTGAATGTTTTCTCTTCCTAGAAAACTTTGGTTGCTATGGGGATGCACGTGACTAACAGTGCTAAATTTCATGTGTCTGTCAGGCCAGATACCATGGCAACAGTTATTGTGAAAGACTGATGATTTTACTTGATCATGTTGGACTCTACATATATTTGCATAAATGTTCTAGTGTTTTTTCTTTACTAAAGAATCGTGATAGCGTATGAGGTACACATTTTATAGACAATCAAGTGCTGTCATTTGTGTAATGGTTAGGATGAGCTGCTTGGTAGAAAGAAGAGAGAAAAGAAGAAGAAGACAGGAAGCAAGAGTATGGATGCAGCGAAACTTGGTGCTTCTGAAAAGAATGAAAGGTAGGAATGCACAAAATAGTATGTAATTTAATGTTGTTCTACTTCATGTGTATATCTGCTTCAGATATGTGTCATATCTGTCTTGGTATAAACATGAATATGCCATAATTTACAAGACAAATTCTAAGACAAATTCTAAGTTTTCTTTTCTTATAAAGTGTTCACATACATCTAAATAGAATTAACTAACCTCTCAAAGTCTTGTAGTTTGAAATTTTTCTACTGAACTCTAGAAACAGAATGCTGCTAGAAAAATCTTTCTCTGTTCAGAGTTGACGGTAAATAGAAAGTGATATGCCAACCACTCAAAAAGATACCACATCTCCTTCCTCGGTTCATAACAGAAATGTTTATATAAGACTTTAAACAAGTTCACACAGCAAGGGAGGAATTGGATCAGTGTAGGATGGAGATGAGAGAGATTTCTGCTCATCTTCCACCAGTGAGTAATGCTTGGGCAAACTACAGATGTCATTAGTTTTTATGCCGTGGTTGGTGTATGCTGCCATATTGGTAGCTACTGTCAGTACTTGGGAGCACTTTGGCAATGACTAGTCTCTTAAAACTTGAGGAATCATTAGGTAGGTCTAAAAATTCATTTTATGGATGGGCTAAATGGAGGAGGAATTTGGGGTTATTTTGTGTTTTTTAATCAAGAATTTCACACATTCATATAATGTGTTTTGAGCGGATCTCCCCCCAACCCCTCCCCTCCAATTAGTTTTTTTTTATTTTTATAACTTGATTAGAAATTTTTCCCCAAAATCTTATAGTTTGGATTCTTGTACATTTATACATATCATGTTTGCAACTACTGCCTTTCATAATAGGATAGGTCAGATTTGCAACTACTGCCTTTCATAATAGGATAGGTCAGATTAAGTGATGCTTTATTTTTTAAATTAAATTGATATTCGCAAAAGATTTCATAATTGCTCAACATATTTTGCTTCTCAATTTTGTCTGTCTTTCTTATTTGTTACTTGGATTTCTCTCCTCTTTTAGATTGCTAGTAAAACCACAATGGCATGATTTGCTTCCATGCAAACTGGGAATTTGGTTTTGCCTTACACTAAAAGCATTGCCTCATCTAATTCAGGTAAAATGTGCTTCTTTCATAGAATGTTAGAGGCTTTCATGTTTATTATTCATGAAATAATTCATGACTATGTCTGCTATTTGAATATATACATATATATCTATATATAATATTGTCTGATAATAAATGTTCATAAGTTAACCCTAATGTACAATTGTTCTAAGATTATTTAGGCACCTTTCCCTATAATTATCTTTTATTTTGCATTTTGAAGTTCAAGACACTAGAAAAAGAAAACTGATAAACTATCTTTATGACAGACATAAAAGCAATAAGAGTTTAATCTGTTGTTATCCTTAAAGGCATAACTAACAAAAAGGAACAAGATTTAGTGAACTCATCTATTATTTTAATAGCATTTAATACATTTTAAAGGAAAACCTCACATAAACATTCACACAAAAGTACATACTACTTTCCATTTTATTTGCAGCTTCAAGGAGAGTGGGAACATTTTGTTTTCTACCAGTAATCAGTATTTTTGTTTCAGGTTAACCCTGATCAAACTAGGAGAATATATGTGGATATTTCACCTTTTTCTTTATATTTAGCATACCAATCATATATTATGAAATTATTCCTTTGCTAATTTTAGTTATTATACACAGCTTGAAATTTTCTAATAGGTAGCCATAATATTTAAAAACAAAAGAATACTTTAAGTATTAAATTTTGAAGTTTGGTAATAAAGTTTGGGGTTAAGATTGTAATTTTGGAGGAGAAATGTTTCCTTTAATAATGAAGTGATTATAAGACAGAGCCTGCTCTGCCTACTGTACTACCTATAACAGGTCTGGTTTTTTTTTTAATCATTTGCAGAAATTAGTTGTTCTGTATTTTATTTTATCTTATTTTCTTTTAGTAGTTTTTTTTTTTTTGTCCAAAGGGAAAAATAAAACAAAAGTTCCTGGTATGCCTTTTTATTTTTCTTTCTTTCTTTCTTTTTTTTGGTGTTGTTGTTGTTGTTTAAGATAGGGTTTCTCTGTGTAACATTCCTGGCTGTCCTGGAACTTGCTTTATAGACCAGGCTGGCCTTGAACTCACTGAGATCCACCTGACTCTGCCTCCCGAGTGCTGGGATTAAAGGCCACCACCACCCAGCCCTACTATGCCTTTTTCTATCCTTTGAGAAATTATTTAGTAGTTTTTCCATGAGCATAATTCGTGCTACTAGTCATTGATTATAGAATTTTTAGTTTTGTTTATATTTGATAAACATTTTTATTTATTTAACCTGTTAATTGGGGAAGGTGTTTAGATGTTTTTATACTATATCAGTAACAATTAATAAGAGAGGAAAACTATACCAAACTATGTTTATGAGAACATGTGATAGAAAAATGTCTTCAGGGAAAATATTTGACTTAAAAAAATCTAATTTTTATTTTAATAAGTTTCGAATCTTTGCAGAAGGCAATTTACAGTATTGAATTTTGGGAATTTCACATCATGCACCCCAGTCCCACTCATTTCCATGTCTACCCTCAACCTTGTAGCTTCCCCTCAAAAAGAAGAGATACAGAAAAGAACAAAACAAACCACTTCACTGCTCTTCTTTCCCACCTCTCCATCACGTGTTCATTTATAGTCATGGCCTTGGGAGCTGCGGCGTGTTACAGCCTGGACCCTTTGGCCCAGACAGCTTTCCTTGCAGATGCTCATTGCAGGGGATGTGGGTCTGGTTCTTGTCTTCTGGCTCCTGCTACACCATCATTACTGGATCCTCACGGAAACTCCTCGCAGATATCTGGGTGTTGCCCCAAGTCATGGAGATCCTGGGACTGTGGATCTCCGCAGAACTGACCCCTTCACACACTCCAGCAGGTCATAGGTGGGGTAGATGTTAGTGTGGGTCAGCTCAAAACCCAAGATGTGGGCCTTGAGTGGTAGAGTCTAGGCCTCCACCAGAATAAACCTCCTCAGGCAAGGGTCGGGGATATCACCACGGCCTCAGGTGACAGCATAGGCCACCCATATCTGCCTGTTCCTTACCTCTGTCATGTCTTCAGTCCCGCTTCTCTCCACATTGCATGAACCATTCTGCTTCTCTCCCATTTTCTACCGCATACCTGTTCATCACAGTGGTACCTGCCCTCCTGGGCCGCTTAGCGCCTTATTGTAAAGTTTTACAAACAACTTTCTGTCTCCCTAGAAAAGTGGATCTCATAAAAGTTGAGTAAGCCTGCTCCATTCCTGAATTCAGGTAAAGGTGAAGGGAGAGAACCAACTTCCACATAGTTGTCCTGTGACCTCCAACATGGGCTATGGCCCAAATATATGTATGTGCACATGTATACACACACACACATGAAAACATGAGCTTATGAAAGACAGCAATCAGAAAAGCAGTGCTGAGTAGTTGCTTTTAGAATTACATCATGGTCCGCTTTTTTGTTTTCCTTCTGTTGTGACCTTTATATTAATTCATCATCCATAAAATTAAATGGTGTTAAATACATGTGCATGTGCGTATCAGTGACACTGGGATACCTCTATGAAAGGTTCTTAAATAAGAACTTGTGAAATTCAGAAGTAGCCACTTTAACTTGAAGAAGCATAGATGATAATTGGTACAGTAGTCAGAAAAAATCCTACTTACATATAAAAATTTTATAAAGTACATAAAAATTAAGATATATATGACATATCTCAATATATGTTTATGATATATATATATATGCCATGTATATCTAAATTCTTAGGCATGTCCTTTATGCTTATTTACTACTCAGTAATAGAGTTGTTATTTAACATTTACATAGGAATTGGCTCATCAGTGGTCGTTGCCCTATTCCTTGTATAAACCAAACCTATGATCATGCTTTCTTTGATGGTAGGTTTTCATCTTGATTTCTTTAAAGAGCCAAAAAGTAGACCCTTGTGAAGGAATGTAAGTGTATAATCCTTATAGATGTTTATGATTTCCCTGTAGTCTTTCACATATAGATGCAGCTTCTCTCATTGAATTTCACAAAGTATTGTTCTTGTTTTTATAGAAACCATGCTGGTAGCCTACTCATATTTTATCCTTCTTACACAGTATTTTTAATCATGTACTTTATTGCCAGTGTTGACTGACAGGAATCTAAGTGCTTATAAAGCCCCTTACGAGTACACAGTAAGTTAGTTAAGTAGTTGTCATTTGAGAGAACTTTACTTCTGTTGAGAAACTCTTGAATTTCCTGAAAAGTTCATTAAAAATGAGCTGCAAAATATATGGAAATGGAAGATTTAGAGGCTTCTAGTCAATGAGCTTCACACACACAGAATCTGAACCCACATACTGTCATAGCAATGCTTCTTCCAATTTCATTATTTCATCTTTTACATACTAATTCCTTTACTACAATTCTTATGTTTCTGAAATTTTCCAGCAGAATCGGGAACAGTGACATTTTGCTCAGCTTTTACTCTTAAGTTCTCTTTATTGTTTACCGTTAGATTCCTAAGGTTACTTCTTATTGCCTTCTTAATTTGTCTAAATTCTTTTCTGTCTCTTACCCCCCAAAATCCAAATGAGAATAATTATATAAAAAATTGATATGTAAATCTCTTTTTGGTCATTTGTTGAAAAATAAATCAGCCAATTCAACAGAAATATAGTAAACACATATAAAAGTAAGGCATGACAGGGGGTGCTGGAAATGAATATGTATTGTAGACTTACCAGCCAGTTATAGCACATGACTGCAGATACCAGATCAAACGATTATTTAATCTTCAAATATGTAGTATCCAGTGATACCCGAAGTTGTTCAAAGGCATATTGTATGTATTTTAGAATGACAAGGAAAACTCAAGTGGGACCACTTGAACTGAGTCATGAAAGATGATGGACCATTGTAAGTGGCCACTTTGTACTAGGTGTCTTCTGAGTGGTTTCTGCTGTTATGGAGAGACACCATGACCATGGCAGCTCTTAAAAAGGAAAGCATTTAAGGGGGGTGACTTACATTTTTACAAGTTTAGTGCATTATCATCATGGTGTGACATGGTAGCATGCAGGCATAGTGCTGGAGAAGGAGCTGAGAGTACTACATCTTGACCTGCACGCGACAGGAAATGAACTGGGACATTGGGCGTGGCTCAAGCATATATAAGAACCCAAAGCCCACCCCCACAGTAACACACTTCCTCCAACAATGCCGTATCTACTCCAAAAAAGCCACACCTAATAGTGCCACTTCCCATGAACTTATGGGGACCAATTAAATTAAAAGTACCACAAATGGTATCCAAAGACAGTTTCATAGATATAGCACTTCCCACAAAACTATATTGTATTAAAGCTGAGAAAAAGATTCAACCACTTTTTTAAAAAGAGGATATGATATTGCCATCAAAGACTATATTCCAAATCTCTAGATTTAGACATATATATTTAGCAAGTTAATTTTTTTAAGAGTCACTAGTCTTTTTTTTTGGTTTATAATTTTATTTATTTATTTATTTATTTGAAGATTGATTAATAAAAGTTCAGAGACAGACACTGGGGTTCAACCTGAACACCAGGAAAGCAAAGGAGCCAGCCACTAAATTTTACCTCGACCTCAGTCTGAAAATGGCAATACTGCCTCCAGGAGACCTCAGAATGAGACTGACTGAGAGCTGTCTTCTCTAGCTGTCTTCTCTAGTTCTAGGATTATGGGCATGCACCACTATTCCCTGTTTTCTGTGGCAAGCTAGTATGGCTACTAGGATTAAAGGTGTGTATCATTGCTGCATGGTCTGTAAGGCTGGCCAGTGTGATTATTTTACTTTTCTGATCTTCAGGCAAGCTTTATTTATTAAAATACAAATGAAATGCCACTACATTTATTTATTTTTACATACCAATCCCACTTCCCTCTCTCCTCTCCTTTTGCTCCTCCCTGCTCCCCCACACCCAATCCCTATCTGCTCCTCAGAAAGGTTAAGGCCTCCTCTGGGAAGTCAACTAAGTCTGCCCCATTACTTTGTTGAGGCAGGACCAATAGCAAGTTAATTTTTAACAGATTAAT